CGCTGGCGATCGGCGATCGATTCGGCGACCGGCCGGGTGTGTTGGGAGACACGACTCGTGACGTCATCGATGCTCTTCCCGGTCGACCGGGTCCCAGGTCCTGAACGCTTCAAGAGACACCGTGATCACTCTGTTTTTGTTGACTCCCATGTGATCACGGTGGTAAAACTTAACGATGGACGATGGTGTGCAGATTTGGCCCAATGTGCGTATTACAATGGTCTGAGTCTATATACCAAAATTCCAACACGGAACCTATACCATTTGTTATGTAGCAAACCAGCTCATATATATATACATATATATATATTTATATATATGGTACCCCCCCCAAAAAAAAACTACATTATCTTAGAATTCATTGGTATTTGCAGTGTGTTTGATAAGTTTTTTTCATTTGTTTTTTTGGATCTACTTTTTCTTGTTGTTTTGGTGGTACCTTCCTTAAAATCATCATGCCTTAACACTTAATACAAAGTACTTGCTTTTGCGTTTACAAACGCAAAGTTTGTAAACGTTTGCAAACGTTTGCAGATTCTTGGATCCAGGAGCCTCAGGATCCAAGATTCCAGGGAAAACTTCTTAGAAGAACACCAGGAATTGAAGACATGTCATAGTAAACGAATAAGAGGACTTCGTCACCAGGATTGAGTCTTGGATCCTCAGGCTCCTGGATCCAAGAAGTTTTCCCTGGAATCTTGGATCTAGGATCTGGAGCGTTTGCAAACGTTTGCAAACGCAACGTTTGCAAACGTATGCGCATCATTTGGTCTCCCTTCATCAGTTTGAGTGCCGCATGTTTGCTACTAATGTCTGCCCAAACTTGAGCGCAAAGCCTCTGCATCGCCTGGCCAGCTGTCTCCGCAGGTGCCTTGTCTGTGGCCGGGCGTTTCGTACACTGGGTTTCACACCCTGAAAAAAGTGTTGATGCAGTGAACAGGGTCCCATTTTTGGAGCCTTTTATGGATCATATACTGCACTTCTTAGCTTTTGCCCTTCTACTTTGCAGCGTTGTCCATGAGCGTCAAGGGCACTGTGACACTTGGGAACGGAGCTGCGCTCTTGCAGCTAGTTCCTAGCACTCCAATGCCCCAGCAGGACGCAAGGCCTCGTCCCAGTCCAGATGATGTTGCGGAGCGGATCCGGCAAGGGAACATCATCATTCACCCGACTAGGCGGCCATTTACCAGAGAGGCTGCCAACTCGGCACTGGTTACAGTGCAGAAGAAGCTTCGTTTAGCAACGGGCGTGAATGGCCAATGGTCCTCAGAAGCGGATGAGATCCTGAAGAACAATTTGGAGTCTGACTGTCTGGTAAAACCAACACATCTGGCAACCAGGCATCTCACCCAAACACCTGACTAAACGTAGGTCTTTTTTTGGGGGGGGTAGCATATATATATATACATGTTTTTTTCACGTTTTGTTGACTGACTAATCATTTTCTGCGGCCTTCAACGAATGTGAGGATTTGGTTGCATGCCAAAGATGGTGTGGTGCGTATTGCTCCCTATGCCCCGGACGAGCAGCTCACGGCGGCACAGCGTTGGAGCCCACATCGCTTCCTGTGAGAGACCTGTGACCGCGTGACTCGATGTACAGCTCGAGTTTCCGTGGCTGTCCAAGTCCAAAACGATGTGACGCAATTCCACGGTGATTTGAGCGTGGTTCCAAGTTTGTCAGTGGATGTTCAGAAGGGGTTGGAACGGATCTTCCCAAACTACGGCTCACCTAAATGGACTAAAGTGAAAAGAATATATATATATATATGTATATATATTGGGTTTGTCCTATATATCACCTGTAACACTCGTCAAACCATGATTACTGTTTGCTTAACCATCGTAGAAACCACCAAGCGTTTATTGTTTTTGCACGTTAGTGGACCTGTCATGAATCATTGATGAATGATCTGTCAGTTTCCATGTTGGTTTGCCTTGCCGAGATTCCATGTTAGTGCGCTGGTGGAAGCTGAGAGCTACATCTTTGTTTGGCATTGTAAATCACCAAATTTCCACCGTGCTTTAGGAACGTGTCATACTTTTGAGATGTCGGCCAAACTAAGTCCACATCCTTGTCTACTAGGCCCTGGGAGGTTGGGATAGACCCAAACCAGCTTGAAAATCCTCGACTGGACTGGACTGGACTGCAGAGAAGGGAGGCCCAACGGCCCAAAGACTGACGGAGCGCGCGTTCGCGTTCGCGTTCACCGAGCGCGTTCGCGTTCGCCGAGCTTCGTGGGAGGCCCATGGCGGAAAGAAAGGAGATCAGAGCGTCGTTTCATGTCGTTTCTCGGTGTTTCAGCGTTGAACAACTTGGCTTCTGGAATTCGGGTTGCAGGGGCCAAATGGGCAAAGAGTTCGTTCGCAACCAGAAGTGCTAGGTGCTAGGCACACGCACAGTGATAGCTCCAACAAGACCAATAATTACCGACACGGAGAGTTGTCATGTATGCTGTGTTGACCTCACTGCGAAGCGTTTTCCAACTCGACGCTCTTTGGGGCTCAAAGAGCGCGTGGAATCCCACGCGAAACCAATAAAACGTGATGGGGACGCTACGAGGGCGAGAGCCCGGCTACAGCAGCGGCTACGGGAGCTATGCCAACACCACCATCTCAGACTTTGCAATGACAAAGACACTGAAGCCAAGGCCACCGAGCGACATGAGGCGCGTTGACGAGGGCAAGCGGGAGGGAGCGTTTGGACGAGGGTAAAGTGGGAACCGAATGGCGGACATGGCCGTTTCACTCTGAAAAGGCGGATGGTTACTCTTATTGGGTAAAGGCATTGATGAATACTTGCACCAAAAAGCACGTATATATTTAGCCTCGGGTTTGTGTTTAAAATAGGGAGCCTCCCCCAAACCAATGGTCTTTTAGTCTTTCTCACTCTTCCCAGTGATCTTTGGGGGCTAAACCCGTATTCTAAAAAAGGATTTCCACGCCCAGCCACATGATTCTTGTGGGGAAGGGGCAGGAAAAACATGCAAAGCAAGTGGACCCTGGCCCCCCAGACCAAGCCATGGGACGATCAGTTGGGGTGGTTGATTTCAGGGGTCAATTGATCGGCAGTCCTATGACAGTCCCAGACAGGTCGTGTCTGGGTCATATTCCATTCAAATCAGAACTCGTCAATATGAAGAACTGGCTTGGGGGGTCATGGCTTGCCGCCATGATGAGCTGATCCTCGCCAGGCCCTTGTTTCTTTATTGGGCTGATGTCTCCGAGGCGGGAGCTCGGCCAGTTCCTTCCTTTGGTCCCTGTGCAAAGGGTCTCAGACCACCCTGGAACCCCAGTCCCAACCGGAAACTCAATGGATGTTCCGATATGGCGCCAGCTAGAGATCCTACAACAGCAAGTCGTAGCTAGTGGTTGGACCACCGGGTGTTCAGAATTCCTGAGGAATGGGAGTGTTGGGGCGCTTGATGTTTAGGCATGTTTCACTCACAGCTTTCGACCTATTAGGCCGTTGGAGGGTGGGTGGATGTCAGGGTTTTACACCCTGGTAGCAGTGAAACAAACCAAAAACGAACAACCAAGCAAACAACCAAAAATCAGCAAGAAAAGCAAACAAACAAACAAACAAACAAACAAAGAAACGAACAAGCAAAATACCCGTCAACACAGCCGTGCCTGCATGTTCCGGTGATTCTCCTGTGAATTTTGCTTGGATTCTCAGCCTCTGCTGGAGGTGGATTTGGCCACTGTCGCCGCGGCTGAGTCCCAGCCGCCCTGTTTGGGGATTCTTCATCCCGGATGACAATCCATGGGACTGCCATATTGACCGTACACATCCCGGTGGTTGATTTCCGGGGTCGATGTATTTTATTGTGTTTTCTGGGTGGACTGACGTTTTTACCTATACATGATCCTACATTAGGGTGGTTGATTTCTGTAAAATATGCCAGTCCCATGGATGGTCCTGGGGATGAATTCGCTTGGGGAGGCAGAAACTTTCTCCGCAGCCGGCCAACCTGTGTGACAGGACCAAGGCTGAGATTCGACAGCTCCTCAAGGCGCGGCCGGAGAAAGACCAGGGGTGTTTTTTGGTTGATACTATTGCCCCCTCACCCCAAAAAGAGGGGATTGGGAGTGATTCGGGGGTGAAGCCCTGAACGACTTCTTGTTGTAGCTTCTGAATTCGCCTTTTGACCAGACCAGAGGTGAAGGGCCGGGACATCCATCGGGGTCTTCATGAACCACCCGACGGAAGTCCTGGAGTTCTTTGGTGCTGTCAGTTGGGTGTGGTGCGGTTGGCTCGAACTGCTGTGTTGGGTGTGGTGTGTGTGGTTCCAACCTCGACATGTGCAAAACCTCTTTCCCCAAACTCGGTTCCTCGCCCGATGTGTTCGTTCATGTCTCGACGAGTGTGACCGAGCACGTACCGAGACAAAAACTGGAGGAGTATATGAAAGTGGATCAACCTGATGAACTTCGGGCCTGCATCCCAGCTGTTTCATGGTGTGTGTTTTTTTTTTTTTTTTGTGTTGGTCAAGCGAGAGGGGCGGCACGCCTGCGACTGAGGCAGAGGTGCTCACGGACATGCACTACCACAACTACTCGTTTTGCGTGTACGCTGCGGAATCTTTTTAGCAGGGTCTTTTGTCTTGACGACAGGAATCAGACCGGAGCTAGAGATTGACATCCTTGTTTTTGAATCTGAAGTAGCAGTGGGTCGTCCAGTCAGCGCACTCTTCATGTTTTGAAAGCAGTGAAGGATGCGACCCACAGCCAAAGGGCGCGACTGCAACTCCACACGACTGCTTGGTCGGTCTCTTTCAGTGCTCACAGAAATAGCTGGAGACAAGCAACTTCATTCACGAACAACTAGCATGTCTGACCATTTTGGATCATACTTCCGCATCCATCACAATGCTTTAGACTAACAGATTGCAAGCATCTTGCAACTAGAAGTCATGTCAATCGGAAGGAGAACACCGAAGGAGATTGAGCCCAACCGCCTCGCCTCACCTCTTTGAAGCACCAACCACGACGAAACTCTTCGACCCCAATTCTTTCCCACCGCGCGCTGATCGCGACTGATGCGCCGTGATGGGTCAAGGCCGCCTGGATCTGGGATGTGCGGCCTGGGATGTTCCTGGCAGTTCTCAAGAGTGCCGAACCTTCTCATATCTATTTATATCTATTTAAAAAAATACACACACATGGTAGTTATACTGACCACTGACCCAGGGGCGACGAAATGAAACATAGTAACATATGGGATGTTCTTGGGATGTCAATGCGATGTGAGCGCCCGCCGAGCGACCGAGAGAGTGGCGTGAGAGCCCGCTGACCCACAGGAGTGTGAGCGGTGCTCGCCTCAGGGCGATGAGAAGAAGACGCATCGGTGGGTCGGGCGTTTGATTTATGGATGGTATGGATTCCACCATGGGATTCCCTGACTTTTGGCTTATATAGGATATATTGTCATACAGAAATCCCCAATTATCATGCGTGAATCCCGTTCTGGGGACATATCTTACATATAATTTTCGGTATATTCCATCAGCAAATCATATGTCTTCCATCATGGATCATCTCATCCAGGGTGTTCTTTGAGGGCCCGAATCCAGGCCTCATGGCTCCAAGGCTTTTTGGGGAACAAGTCCTTACCTGTTTTCGAGTGAAAAGAGGGCCTGCCATGTGGCGCCATGGGTCATGGAACCCTGGGAGAGACCACCCAAATCCGACTCGAGGACCTGGGAGGTCAACCTACCCTTGTTTGGGGCTCCGGGTTTTGACCCAGAGCCATGCATGGCCCCGGGATTCTTAGGGATGAGTCTTGTTGCGATGCCATCGGGCCCATGTCGTAGCGAGCCGGTCGGAACCAAACCCGACGTCCGTTTTTTCGGGTCGGCCCGACCGCGAAAAGGACCAGGTTTGACTGGGTCTTTGATGGTCTTTGGACTTGGGAAATCGCCTGTTCCCAGCGTATCCATCATCATCCCCAAGATGCGAGGCAGCTCTGCCACACAGCACCTATCAGCCGAAATCTCCAGAGCAACCTTGGACATTCGTGGAATCCCACGCTCCGCATGAAATGGGTATAGAACATGGAGAGTCGGTCTCAAAGCGCTCGAGGACGCTTCAAGTTGAACGCTCAACTCAATCAACTCCATCATATATATATATATATATGCATTGGCTCATTTGACTTCACCTCATCTCAAGACAGATAAAGAAATGATATGAAATGATCCTTTATACCTGTCACCTCCTCCCCAAGTCGCCCAAGTCACCCCAAGTTCCCCGCGCGAAAGGAAAAATCAAACATACATATACCTCCCCATGGATCCACATACCTTTTGAGAAGGTGATTGGAGACTATTTATGGCTTGGAGGGTCCAATTACCTGAGGAATCGAAGGTCAAACCCACCGGAGCCACGAAGGCAAGAAGACCCGGTGCTCGGCGCCGCAAGAAGCCCAGGTTGGAGTCATCCACCCTCCGAAGGTGCTGCATGAACGGCAAGGCGTGGACCGCGGCCCGGGCGAGGTCGGATGGTGTTCGGGTCCCGTCCGTTGGTTTGTTTCCCCAGACACGCTGCGGGGCCGACCTTCACCCCCCCCCAAAAAGCTCCCCACCTGATTCGCAAACATGGCATTCGCAATGGATAGTGGGCAAACATGCCAAGACAGCTTAAGTGACCTGACAAAGGACCCTGTAGGGGTACCCAATTGGGATAGTCGTTCTTCAACCTCTGTTGGTGGGTTCCTCATGATCCGACTTGGCTATATAAGAGCCTCCCCTCCATTTCGCGCCCCCAAAAAATAAGAATGCCAGCCTGTGGCTGCGGTGAGGGTTTTGTAGCTTTGATGAACATTCCAGAAGAGATCGAAATGACTCGGACTCCCAGGGGCGAGTAAGTCATATATACATTCTGCACGCTCACACCTTCAACTTCTGTGGATCCCCTCTTTGACCTGCACCCCATCGCACCATGCGCTGTGCAGGCAGCCGCTGGCCAAGATGGAGGAGGCTATGGTGGCGGGTTTTGGTATGGGAGATGAATCGGTGACGCTAATTCTACAGGGTCACCTCATTTTACTTGTTCTGGTTCGGTCATGCAAAAACAGTACTTGATGAGTACAAGGATCAGTTTTCATTTGGTCCTTGGACTGGAACCGGCTAATGTCAAAACACCACGGAATCACAGATTGTTGTGAAATCCCACGAGGCTTTCACTTGGCTCTAGGGTGACATTATAGCATGTTATAGCATCAATATCATTGATCAATCAAGAGTGGCATGCACCTTCAGACCTGACCTGGGCGTTTCGGAACAGGGTGATCCGCGCACAGACCGCCACATTCATGAATCTCACACACATCATACCCTATAACCCAGACCATCCATGTATGGAAAATTGACACAACGCTAACCCTCAGAACATCTTAAAATCATCCCAATGTACGTAAATCTTTTCAGTCCCATGGATGCTCTGGGAAGAATCCGTGGAACCCAGCAACCTTTTTCACCTGACCCTTGGTCGTCATCCAGAATCCGCAGAGCGCCAGGAGCACCTTCGTTGTGGCAGCGGCTCCTCAGCCCGCCGGGGACGCTCAGAAGCTCAGAAAGCTGGTTTTCCTCGGGAGTGAGGGAGGATCCTCACCGGCGTGAACCAACAAAGCAGGACTGGTTCACCCCAGCCGCTCCCAAAAAAGGAGGCACAGGAAGTTCGGCTCTGGGTGGTTTGGTTCATCTCATCCGTGGGCCACTTCGGCACCCCGACTTCCTGCCTCTTCGGCACCCCGACCGTGTGGCGACCATGTAGACACCTTTGCCAGGTCCCGACGCACTACCGCACTACCACGGGGCTCTTGATAGATTAACAGATATGTTTTAGGGGGGGCCCGAAGTGTAGAACCTCTACACACAGCATGCAAGTGCAGCCTTCCCTGCCACCAACAGTTCCATAGGTCTGTTCCATAGGTCCCCGACCACTCTTTCTACCCACCTGGGAGTCATAATCCGTACAGGGGCCACATGAGTCAAATGTGGATTCTCAGCCAACAGGTGTTTTCTTTTTCAGAACCCTAGTTCGACTATCCCATATACCCGCGCAGGGTCCTTTGTCACTTCACCTCTTTTGGTAGGGTTGATTTCTTCTGACAGAACGACGGATCGTGTGGGGCCTCCTCCGGCGCCGCCCGAACCAACACGTGATCCGTCGGTCCGTCGGTCTCTGCAGACGTCGCACGAGCGTGGGTCGACCTGCCGACGACATGCGCTGATCCTCTTGGGTTCCCCACCCAGGATGGCAAGCCTGTGGCATGACCCCAAACACGACCCGTCTGGGACTGACATAGGACTGCCGCCCCAGACAGACCCCCCTGGCCAACACCGTTGGCCGTTTCTCGGCATAGATTGCCATACATGGAGTGTATGGGTACAGTAGATGCTACAGATACCCACGTTCCCTCACCCTGCCGCCTTGTTCGTGACCTTTGCTCTGATTGCTTTCTGCTCAGACCTTTTTTCCTTGGTCCAAACCAGTTTTGCAGGATTGGCCAAGAGTTAGCGTCCAAGAGTTTCAAAGGGGTGCTTAATGAAGGTGAGGGGTGCCCAGAATGTCCACTCACTGGATGGGACTAGTCTCACCCCCAACTCCATGTGACTGCTGGGTGCTTTTCTTCTTGTGTTTTTCCGTTGGGGAAGAGGCAGAGATCTGCCGGCAGATGGATTCTGGGCTCACCTCCTGGGGTAGGATATCAACGTCCGACGTCCTGCGCCTTCTGCCCGACGTCATGCAAGAAATGGCTGGAGGGAAGAACTACAGGAAACCCATCGTTTCTTTTTGCGTGGAAAAACCATGGTTTCCTGATGTTTCCGGTATTGTTCCACCAATTCTGGCACGACGTTTGCGCCAAGGACCTGTCGCTGTTGCAAGACAGATGGTGAGCATACCGTGGCAGATGGGGACGATGTGCTGGACGCCCTGGCGTCGACTTGCCGCCGTCCTTGGCCAGTTTGAAACAGTCACCAGAAGGGCTCCAAAAACCACTCATGCCAATATGCCAAGATGATCCAATATATGCCTAGATTCATCTAGATTCTAGATCTTCCAACTGTACAAAAAATATATCCCTTTTTGTATTGCCCTAGGCATCCAAGTCCTTCTCAGAAGGTGATTCTTCTGTAGGTTTGGAGGGTCCAAGTAACTTGGGGAAGAATTGCTTTTTTATGATTTCCCGCTTCCTTGAGCACAAGTCCAAGTATCATAATCCCTAGGGCTCCTGGCCCATACCCTCAGGTTCGGTGGTTGGTTAGGCCCCCCTGCCACCCACCATCACCATCTTCGAAACGGAGGTAGGCCAGCCAGGAGCCCAAACGGGATCATACTGAAGCACGAAATGAAGTGAAGCCATGACCCAGACACTCCATGGGACTGCCATATAATATGCCTACATTGACCCCCCTGGCACCACCCCTGGCCTGATCGGCATATATGCCAGTCCCATGGGTCGTGTCTGGGGAAGACCCTTTTCGGAGTCCTTTTGGAATCCCGTTCGCCCGCCCCCGAGGCCGGCGCAGATCGCCGACTGCGACGACGAGTTGAATCGAGGCGGAGCTGGAACGGTCGCGTGTCACGGAAGCACCTCTCGATCGCAACACGCCAAACCCAACGTGTGGATCCGGGATCGCAACACGCCTTCGTAGCTTCCCCTCAACATGGAGCCTTCGGCGCTTGGGTGGACCATCCGACCCAACCGCGGACGAGGGCGTTCATGGAGTCCTCAGCGGAGTCGGGCTCCGAACGGCGCCACGGTTTGTTTCTCCGAACATGCACCCAACAACACATGCATCATCATGCATCCATATGGATCTTCGTGGCGTGACGCGCGTTTTGTCTTTGTGCAAAGCTAATTAATGTTGTTGTTGGTCCTGTGTTGGGTCCTACCAACAAAAAGGCTTTCTGTTTCAGCCGTGTCCTCTGGGCCCGCCGTTGGACCGTGACACCCGCCGTCCACCGTGGACACCGACACCGCGTGGACGGACGCGTGTCCGACTCCGCCCGGTTTGAGGACTCAGCAAGTCAGCTCCGAAGGACCGGGAAAGACAGTGAGAGAACAGTGGGTGGGTGCTGAGGGTCATACCCAGACACACCAGGACCATGGATGGACCCTCCAAAAGAGGTGTCTAGCCTCAAATAGCCGAGCTCTTAGAGGTGAGTCGAGGTGTCCCAAAAACCACCAAATCTTGGAAGGTCCTTGTATGACTCATATTTCCGAGAAAAAAGAACAGTGGCTGATTTCAGGGGTCAATGCCAGGACCTTCCAAGATTCGGTGGTTTGGGACACCCCGAATCACCTTTAAGAGGCTATGAATAGACACCTCTTGGAAGGTGCTGGTATAGATTCCAGTCCCATGGATACTGAGAGAAAAGCGAGATGAGATGTCGCGATGCAGAACGACTCAAATCCAGGGTTCCGGTATAGGTGTTCGTGAAGTTTACCCAGCATGACCGGATTTGAGGTTATTGAAAGGAATTATTGTTGAAAAGAAACATACAATGGGTGCCCTCGCTGGACTACCCTACACTACTATCCGGGATCTCCAGACAGGACATCAAGGGATGTCAGAGGTGTCTCTGTGGTGCTGGCCATAGTTTACGTTATAATAGTATAACAGTATAACACTATATTACACTCGATTTTTGAGCCACCGGGGCCATTTCTTTGGAGATGGCTGCGTTGGCGAGATGGCTAGAGATTGGCAGGTGTCGACACCCACCTCGCTACTGACCGCCCTCCACACCCACATCGATTGGTCTGGGTGGGAGTGGTAAAAGCATGTGAACCACCCAGCGGGAGTTTGACCAGGTCACACTGCGGACAAGCAGAGCACCCCAGGGTCATCTCGAGAGTGCGAAGAGATGGACTGATCGGTGAAGTGTTCATCCGAAGCCTCGATCTAGCAACTTTGGACCACTTTGGACCATTGAGGTGACTCACGGCAACAGAAAACAGAGGCAGAAGAGAGATATAGAATTATATACCAGGAGTCACAAAGGGGTGGTTTTTAGTCCCATCCAGTGAGTGGAGTAGCTGGGCACCCCTATCCTCCAAGTTCGGCATCCCTTTGTGACTGCTGGTAGAGAGGTTTCGTCTTCTTCTTCAGGATTCCCACCGTTCCTTCACACCCGTTCCTTCACACGTCAGGCGGTCAGCGATACCAAAGCGACACCCGCGACTCACCCGCGACACCCGCTTCTTCGGTCCGCTCTCAGGTGGACGGCAAGGCGGACTCCAAAGAGCTCGGGTCTCCGGATGCGCCGATGCGGTCGATGGCAGTCCGATGAGTCGTGTGACAGTGGTGGACAGCCATCTTCTTCGTTTCGCATTGCGCCGTCTGTTGCGCGTGTTCTGTCCGCCTCCACAGCTATATATATATATCACATATATATGACAGAAGTCCCCCAAATAACCTAAAAACGTACATGTGCTTTCCGTATGAGTCATGGAAACACCTTTAGTTCGGCCCTGAGAGTTGGATAATTCCCCAAAGGATATAAGGAGAATGGCGTGAAAAGCACCACTGGTCTACCACTCCAGCACACTTTATAACAACGACATCTTCAACCTCCTCCAAGAAATTGTCAGATATACTGACATGCTTCCTTTTAAAGATCAGTGGCAGAGCAAATGTTGCCCCGACTTGCCTGCGGGCTGTTTGGATGTATTTGATGATAAGCCTGGCAGCTTCCTTGCAGAGTCCAGCAGCGCAGCATGACCCGCCACAGGGACCATACATCAGAATAGGTTGACAGAAGTGTTGACAGATCATGATGCATGATTTGACCTTTATGTGATCTATATAAACGTGTCTGAAGAATCCCTAACTTATGGATCAAAGTTTTAATCAAATCATCCATAATCATCCCAACCTTGACTCTTAATTGCACTTGGTCACAAGCTTTTAGCCAACCGCTCCACCTCCACCTCTCCCGGCCCTTCCCACCCTCCACACGCACTTCTCCTCGTCCCGAGGTGCGTCCGAGGAGACAAGCGGCGGTGGACTGACACCTCCCTGGCCTCGAACACGGACCGGAAGGAGATCGGACTCTCGTTGAACGAGTTCGCGGCTGGGGCAGCCCAGCGGCGCATGCCGCGGTGCAGAAGCACGGGTGCGCGGTTGTCAGTGTATGGTCAAAAGGAGAGGGGTGAAAGGCAGAGGAGGCAGAGGGACCGTGGATTGCACTCATTTAAAACATATTTCACAACTGTCCTATTCTGAGGGATGCATCTATTTTGGATGCGTCTATATAGACCTCCATGGCAGGGCGACCTTCTCCAGCGGGCAGGGACCTGAAGAAAAGCCTTTCTGCTTCGGTCGGATCCATTCCACAAAAGCTTCCACTTTGCACAGTCTTTGTACATTCAGCAGAATGCAATTGGGTTGCACATACCAAGTGTTTGCTGGTTGAGGAACAGAACTTTGTACTATATTGCTGGTACGTGCTTGCACGTACCAGATTCCAAGCAGACATCACTTAAGGTAACACGTTTTTGGTCGCCCACCATCAGACCAAAAATCCGACACGTCCGACGAGACCGGTGGGCAGAAACCTGGTGGGTTTTCATGCACCGTGTGTCAGATTCTTCAGTCATGGACGGCCCAGTTTTCATCTTCCACCCAGTAGCTACCCCATGCGCGCATGCATCGCGCACGAATCGCCGAGATTGTCCACCGAGCAGCTCGAAGTCTTCAAAAGGCGCGGCGATCGGATGCGAAGATTTGGCGTCGGACATCATGTGAGCACCAAAAGTGCCCCAACAGATTAGAAGTTGACTCCTATATAGAAGTTGAACCACCTACTATTTAATCGCCCTTTCCGAGCAACCATTCATTTTAAGGGTTTTAATTCCACAAAACCAGATCCTTCCCACTTTCAGAAATGGTCGAACGGACTTCCAGATGGGCCCTTTCTTGGAACCGGGGCCTCTTCGCCGACCGCGAATCGTTCTCAGTTCATGAGGCTGTCGGTGTGAGTGACGAGCCGACTGCGCGGGTGGCCTCCTCAGCCGCCGAAGGGCGCGGGCGAAGGGTGCGGGCGCGCCATGGGTGGGTCATAATGAATTAGCATAGTACATTATATAGAGACCCAAGACTTCAAAGTCCATGAAGAGAAAGCTTAAACCTGGCTGCTGTAGTCCAAAATCCTATAGTCATATACCAGGACCTTCCAACAGGTTATTTTTGACACCCCTGAACCTGTAAGAGGGGGTTTGTAGACACCCCTTGGAGGGTCCTGGTAGAACGTCAGGTTGTTCGATGAGGAACATCAGGAAATGCATGCGGCATAGTGTTTTGGGGAGTGCAACGTCACGTTTTCACCTACTGCATATATTAACCAAAAACCAAACTTCTTCCCAGATGCTCCCTTCGCCATCGCACCAGTCCCTCAAATGCAGGGGTCCCAGATGGGAGGAGTCCCCGGGGTCCGCTGCCACCGCGCGCCCTTGCGCGCGCGGAGCAATCCTAAGGACCTGGATCGTGGTGTGCACGTGGAGAACATCTATGCACATGGCTCAGAGTCGGCGAGTTCGGCTGAAATTGAACTAGGGTTTTCGGTTGCCACATCGGCGAGCAGGTCGAGCATGCGATGTGGAAAACCTCACGAATCCCCATGGGTAAAAGACGGTAGATGAAACAGGAAGACGGTGTGGATTTGATTGTGGACATGATCTCCTGTGGCAAAGTCTGCAACCTGTTTGACGACTTAGAGAGGATGACCTACAGCTGCTATCCGCTGCTACTGTGCAGGACTTCTATGATCCGGAAGTTCATAAAGTGCGAGTGAGGAGAACGTGATGCCTTGCGAGTTTTTCTTTTTTTGTGAAACATCATGAAGACCCAATATGTAATACGCTACTATTGGCTCCTGACCTCACTACTAGGAGCAAGAAGCTACTAGGGCTCCTGGCATCGCTACTATATAGGAGCAATGACGCTACTAGGAACAAGGACGAACAAGAACACAGTTTGCCATCAGATGTTTTGCGTCTCAAATGCCACGAGTTCCCAGGGTAAAGATAGGTCAATACACCAAAAAGCATCGCAGGAGTCACTGAGCTCGCGGGTGGTGTGGCTCGTCCCCATCCCGGGGCCGTGGATGTGATGCGAGGGACTCACCGAACGCACGCCGATCACGCCGATGAAGCTCCGCAGGAAGATGGACGACACGGTGCTCCACACCCGAACCACACAAGCGCGGCACACCAACATGAGCCGAACTGGCATGTGTTGTCAGGCTGCAGAGGTGGAAGACCAACCCCTAAACAACCCCAAAGCCTGGCCTTGAAGAAATAAGGGCTCTAAAGCATAGTCCACTGGAGTACATAGTGTCTTCTGTTGCTAAGTTGGATGTTTCCAGAGTGCCACCAGCTACCAAGCAAGAAAGCCCTGGTTTCAACTGTGGAAGAAGCATCATTTTTTGTTTTTGGACACTCAGAAACCAGGCGACGGCATCAGCCAGGAAAGTCTTGAAAGGTTGTTGAGACTGGACCCATGGCCGGCCTGTTACATGCCCGGCGAGGACACCGCAACACGAGCTTGCCCTCCATATTCCACGGCCCTAGCACCTGCATGAATCCAAAGCACTTCATGGTATGGAATAGCATGTTAAAGAGCGCTAGGGTTAGGACATGTTGGGACAACCTTCTTGGGAGATGATCCATGGGCCTCCTTGGGATCATGAGCCTCGGACCCTCGACCCCTCAAGCTCCACTCGATGAGGGCCCCCAACCTGTCGTGAGCACAGGGTTGTGGCCGGACCCCTCACTTCTAGGGCCGAACCCTTCCCAGACAGAACCTATTGATCCTCTGAGTTGAACCTATTGATCCTCTGAGTTGTAAACGCAAAGCAGGTCAAACACCTTCTTTCACTCTTGCACAACAAAGGGCTGCAGGTACATGCCCTAGGTCAACTCAAGTTCAAACATCATGAATGCCGTGTTGATTTTTGGCTCCCCCCTCCCGAATCTCTCTGACTCGGGTTCAAGGAAGACACACGGCAAAGGTCAAAAGTAGACTCAAGCCCTCTGTCACAGGCTCTAGGCGATGGCTCTAAACTGAATCGAATCCTTCCGATCACACAAGAAACTATGGCCACAGGTTCATTCCCCTTCGAATGGTTGTGACCCAAACTTGGAAAAAGAAAACTCTAACGGAACGGAAACGATCTCTCAGTATGCCACCATAACGCTCCTCAAACTCCAGCTCACCGGGCGCTCCCCAGTGCTTTCTGCCAGGAAAAGAAGAGGCTGATGCCTTTCCACTGTGACTTCAGGTAACACATGGATCTGCTACCCTTTCTATTGTCCACCCTGGCAAACATGGTTCCATCTTCCATCCAGCCCAACGTGACCACCCCTGCCGTGATGCCATCTTGAGGAGGCGGAGCAGAAGCTTCTGAGTCATACAATTTCTTTCGCCAGGATGGGAGTTTGTGCACCAAAATCTGAACTGTGCCATTCTGCACAATCTGGTTGTAGGTCTTGGGGGGGCCATGCAGAAGGTCAGGTCCAAGCTCACGGAGAAGGTCAGCAGGGAACATCCATCGAAAATCCCAAAGTTCCTGACGTTTCAGCCGAGACACAAATTCGATCATCGTTTCACCTGTCCTTGCCACATAGACACCCTCGAAGAACACGTGGCTTGGAGACACTCTCGACAGATCTTCAAGTCCTCCCCTTCTGACTTCCTCTGCCTCAGGGATGTAGTCCAAATTTGGATCCGAGCGACCATGAGAAAGACGCTTGACAGAAACACCCGAGCTGCCGAACCCTTCAGACCCACGTTGAGTGATAGACAGGGCCCCAGTGCAATACAAATCCTCGGCGTTGAACTTCTCCATGATTAGCTGACCGATCCAGTCACCCGGGTTCACCACCAAGGTGTCAGCACCATTGTTGACCAAAATGACTTTCACTTCTCCACGAAAATCAGGATCTATCACTCCCCCAGCCACGTCAATGCCTCGCAAAGCAAAAGAGCTCCGAGAGGCTATGCGTCCATAGCAACCACGAGGAAACTCGCAGGCGAAACCCAGAGGCACTAGCTTCCTTTCACCTGGTGCAATCTCCACCAGACTGGAGGCCGCAACGTCCCACCCAGCTGCCTGCGAAGTGCCCTTCGAAGGAAGAGAAGCTTGGTCGCTCAGCAACTTGATCTTCATGCGATCACTTTGACCAAAAAGGCGCCTCACCACCTCCCAGCCCATGTCTTTGATGAAGTGAAGCAACACAACCAATCCTGCCAACAATAGCACCCAGCCTTGATCTGCCCAAGATCCAGCGTCTGCCTCCACTCGGGTCTCCTTTATCTCACACGTCTCTGCTGCTTGCGACGTTGGAAGAAGAGACGCCCCAACTGCCAACAAAGACAGCGACTTGAGCACCTTGGAGTCAACGATGGATGAGATCACGTGCTGTTCCTGCTTTCCCCCCTGGTCGTCAGCACCCAGAGAAGGATCACCCAGCCAAATACCACTGCAGAACCTGCTCAACTGTAGCGAAGGCAAAGGTTTCGTGAGTCCATCTGCCCACAGCGCCGTGCCCACTCGATGGCTCAATGTCAGTTCTCCAGCCCGCAAAGCCTCTGACAGACAGCTAGCCCGGATCCGTAGATGTCTCGTCCTCCATCCTCCCCCAGCTCCGGTTGCAAGGACCACTGCTGCTCGGTTGTCATTGTAGATTTCCAAGTCCACCTTAGACGTGAACAGCTGCACCAAGGAACGAACTGACCTCCCCGTCTGAAGACCTTCTACAATGGCTGTTAGCTCTGCTTCAGCTGTCGACAATGCCATCAGGCTTTGCTTTCTGGACTCCCACTGGACAGGACACCCCGCCAGAAGGATGATGGTGCCGGTGACACTATGGCTGTCTCCAGGGGAAAACGATGCATCCACCAAGACCTCCAAAGTTCCTGAATGACGAGGGACACTCCAACGTAAGTCAGAATTTGTATCTTCTGGCACTGCTTTTGTATAGTGCAAGCCAAAGGTCAATGAACCCTTCACATAGGCCAACACCGCCAGCCCCATCTCAACTGTCCATCGTGGCTTCTTGACCGCGTTCTGAGCCATCTTCATCACTGCCCAGGTCAGGTCTGGGCGGGTCTTGCCCGACAACCACAAGAGTTCTCCCGTGATCTTCTGAGCCTCTCTGATCTTGGGAAGGGAGACCGTCTCCTCCTCCTCTTTCTCCTCTGGGACCTTGATGAAGGTCGCTGCTGCTCCACCGGGATGCCGATCTATGACCTCTCTGGTGTAGCACTCCTGATGCAAGAAGTAGGAGCCGTCCTGGAACCGTTGAATCTCAATTCCCAGGAACCTCATTGAACTTCCTCCAATCACAGCATACTCTGGTGAAGACGTGGACCATCGACTCTGGATCGTCTTGGACGCAGCCTCCGTGACGGACTTAGGGCCCACCATCAGCACGTCGTCCACATAGACAATCAAGTGCCCCACTACTTTCCCCCAGCTTCTGCCATCCTCCTCCCCACCAGGAACAACTTCTTGTATTGCCCAGAGATTTGGATCTTCCATTGGCCGGAAAGAGAACTTCTTCTCACTCGCACCCCCCTCATCATCTGCATCCACATAGGAGCCCACCATCTTTTGCAACTCTGAATCACGAAAGGAACTCCAATCCTTTGGGGAGGTGACAAGGCCGTACATTGCAGAGGTTACTAGCCAGTGTTCCCCTGGCTGTGCCAAACCTGCTTCCTCCAGGATTTTTGGAGGTCGAACAATCACCGTCTCGCCTTGTGCCTTTGGAGCAAGAAGAAAGGCCGATTTCACATCAAGGGACAGACATTCCCATTGCCGAAGTGAAGCAAGCCGCAACATAGTTCTCAGCTGGGTTGAGTCTGCTCCAGAAGCGTAGACCTCTTCTCCTGCTCTAGGCTCCATGTAGTTGCCACAGCACACGATGCGGGACCTTCTGCGGCCGTCTCCGGCCTTTCGGGTAAAGACCCCCATTCCAGGAATGAGTTCAGCTCTTTCACCTTTCCGGTGTGCCTCGGCCATGATCTCCCGGGTCTGCTCCTCGGTGATTCTCTTGATGGCCTTGTTGCTGTCGAAGTTGTCAATCTCAGTGCGCAGAGAAGGAATCCATAAGGCCAGTGACTTCCGAACTTCCTGCAAGCTAATCGTTCGAGTTTGGAGAAACAGTTCTTCATCTTCACCTGCCACTTGCTTGGCCTCGGTTTCCAGCTTTTTACAGGCTGTCCATGAATCTGGCACAAGAGTCTCGATCTTCTGGTTCTCATCGTCGAGGTCATAGATCAACCCGATGGCCTCCTCTTCTCTGGTCAGGCCGGCCTCAAACCGACTGAATTCTTCATTAGCCCAAGCTTGGCCTCTATGGAGACGACCTTGAAGTTCTTCTGCCGACAGACAGGACAAGGAGGTCTTCTCATGGAGTCTCCTCTTTGGAACCACCACCCCATCCAGAATGCTTGCTGGTTCAGGCCTCTCCTTCACGGTGACCACATCTTCCAAAGCTGGTGGGTCTTCTGCCTGAACTACATCAGCTGTTCTTACGAACTTGCCCTTCTCGATCTCGACCACATGGCCTCCGCTTGTGAGACTCATTTCAGGATCAGGTCCCCTCACCACTCCAGGCCGTTTACGCATCCTCCAGTGTCCCTGAAAGTCGTCCCAGCCTTTCGTTGTGACCATCACCTTTCTTCCCCAAGGCAACAATCTCGGCGTGCTGAAGCCCAGAGCTTGGAGCTGCAATCGCCCACGCCTTTCGCCCACATGCTTGGCCATCAAAGGCCACAATTCTTCACCTTCACCAGCCGATCGGATCAAAGTGTTGATCCCCCGACGGATGACACCCACTTCAGCTTCGGCACGACCATTTGCTTTCCAATCGCTGCCGCTGGTGAATGTCCTGTAGATGCCACGAGCCTCACACCACCTCCGTGTCCCTAGCATCTCTGCCGCACCATCACTGTGAACTCTTCGAACCTCCATTCCAAGGTATTTCAATCTTGCCAACATGCGAGCCAAGGCCGCCTTCATCTCCGGGCCTTGCCTGGACGTCAAGGTCTCGACCAGGGTGTAGTTCATCACACTGACCTCCTCCGCCTCGACTTCCAACCTTTCCCATTCTTCCAGCACTTTCGGATCACCATCACTCTGCTGGACATCTTCCGGCTCTGCTCGAGGTAACAGATCACCGCCTTCTTCCTCCTCTGGCGGCTCCTCCATAACCTTCAAGGCATCTAGAATCTCTTGAGGGAGAGGCACCATGCCATCCGCGTTCTTCTTCACCGGAATAGCATAGACACCCACCAGGAAGTACTTGGATTTCTTGCGGAAGTCTTCACCCGGTCGAAAGGGTCCACAGACATCCAGACTCAACGTCATAGCATCAGGATGGGGAACTTTTCGATGAGGACGACTCCGACCTGCCCCTTTTAAGCATGTGGTGCACTCCCTTGAAAAAGGAACATGATCCTGCAAGACATGAATGCGCCACTGCTCTGCCGTCATCTTGGACACTGCTGGTGACTCTTCATAGACCCCCAGATCACACCGCTGGTCCAGCACCAATAGAATGCCCTTGACAATCTCCTCCTTGAACCTTTCCGGCCACGCAGCCCAACCACTACTCTGCATGGCTCTTGTTTCAATTGAGGCACTAACGTCCAAAACTTGTCCATGAGAACGGCAATCAGAAAGTCCTTCCAAATGGCTCAAGTGAGGGATGTTTGTGCCAAGTGTTGTCGGCTTTCGACGAACGTGGCCCAGAGCTCCAAGGTCCAGCCTGACCTCCTTCAGGTTGAACAGGTCACGAAACACTCGCCATTCCGGCCAAGCGTAGAAGGATGGGTACTCATTGGTGTCCCCCGGTGACTTGTACTCTTCTGGGTCCCTTGGATGCTCCTTCAAGAACATGACCTTCTTCTTCCGGGCTGCACACGCGACCGTATAGAGCCACAGCTGCCTCATCCATAAGACGGCGTCACTCCATGCCAGCTCTCTCATGGCATCCGAAAGATCACTCAGGGCAAATCGCTCTGGTCCACTCCTAGCACGAAGAGGAGGTGGACCTGGCCTCCGAAACCGGAGCTTGGAAACAGTCCGACACGGTGGGCCTCCAAGGACGACATCAACAACTCCTTTTTCACACACCTCAGCAAGGAAGCTAGTGAGCTGGTCTGAGAGAAGATCCTGGTTCGAGTCAGCCGTCTTGTCGATGCAGATCACCGTTCTGGAATTTGAATCCAGTCGTTTCCTCCACCAAGCCTGATCCGGACCAGAGAAAAGGTGCAGGATGACCGAAGAACTGGCTGCAATCCTCTGGCGTTGACGACGGTTGAGAGGAACGGCATCTCCGGTCCATCGACCAGTAGGCACCACCCTGGCAATGAGCTCATCTGGAACCTCTGGCCACATTTCTCTCAAATCCTTCAACCACCTCCACACATTTGGAGCCAAGTCACCTGGATTGCCAGCCTTCAGTGCTGCAACTCTGCGAGACAAATCGGCTTCGAACTCCTCCAACTCACGGATCAAACGGTTCGCCAGCTTCAGATCGACTGTCGGGCATCCAGATTCCAAGACGACCTCCACCTTCTTCCCAGCCGGGTCACAAAGTTCAAAGGACTCGCCCTCCCACGTCACCTTATAGCCCAGACGCACGACCTTGCCGAGAGGGACAATGGTCTGAGTCTCAAAGTCTGTGATGAGGGTGCCCGTTGACTCAATCTGCCTTAGGGTCGTGACCCCCGCTGCCAGCTCCACTTTGATGGGAATGGCCTTCTCAAACTCCTCCTTCGATGCTGCTGGCCTCAACACGTGAGTGGCACCGCCGTCAAGAAGTGCTCGACCTGCTCCTTCAACTGGATTGACCGAACGCATGCACAACACCTTGACGGATGGCCGGAGTGACTTCAGAAGCTGCACCGCCTCCTTCACCAAATCCTCCGAAGGCTGAACTGGAGGTGGAGCAAAGGCATTCCCGGTTGCAGCTTCACTTGACATGCCTCCCTGTCCTTCGCTCCCTTTCGAGCCACCCTCCTTGGACTTGATGTCATCACCAATCTCCTTCTTGACCTTGGGGACCTCCTTCACAGGGCAGTCCGGCTTCAAATGCTGGGTTGATCCACATGACCAGCATCTTCCTTGCTTCGACAGTGCCTTCCACTCATGCGGGAATGGGCATTTCTGTCCCTTCTTGCATCCACTGTCTGAAAGGAAGTACCGACAGACAGGCTTGTCTGAGGAGGATGCCTTGGGATCGTTCTTGGTCACCTTTCCATCAGACTTGTCATTCTTGAAGTCCTTGACGTCTTTGGAACCCTTGGCATCCGCATTGTCCTTGGACTTGTCCTTCACATCTCGTGGCTTACTTCCCTCCTCCCGGGTCGCACCACCCTCCCCATCCAAGGCTTTCACCTTCACAGTGTCCTTGAGAGGTGCAGTTGAGCCACCATGGAATGCAGCCTCACCCTCCGCCATCAAAGATTCTGCAAACTGCTGAATCCCGTTCTCAGTAGGAGCAACATCCACCCGCAAGGCCGCCCGTGTGATCTGCAGGCGAAAGGCAATCTGAGAAGACTGCTTTGCAAGCCCAGCCGCAAACCTGTCCAGCGTGGCCAACAAAAGCACTGGATCTGGAGGTTGGATGCCAAGTTCCTGAACTCTTGTAAGCCACCTCCTCCAAGCCCGAAGAGACGACAGCCACTCCCCAAGCGGACCTGGAACTTTCTGATCGACCAATTGCTTCAGCAGGGTCGTCCTTTCACCAAGACCTCCAGGTTGATATACTCGAAGGACCTTGAACACAATGCTCACAGAACCCACCTCCCGCTGAGACACCAGCTCTGACCTGAGTGACTCGGGAATTGCTTTGAGAAGGGCAACTGAACCACGTTGTTCGATTCTCAACCATGGTGGTCTCTGAAATGCCTGAGGAGTGACCGGGACAAGCCTCAATCGTTCCATAGGCTCGGAGTTCAGCCAAACACGGTATAGTCCCCCCGCCACATTCAAGACCTCGTCCCACCACAATGAGGAACTCGCACTGATGTCCCTGAGAAACGGACCGATGGTCGTCAGCCAATCCCCGGCAATCAAAGGACCAATCTCGGACTCTGAGAGCTCTTGTAGTGGCGGCAAGTCGACTGCTCTCACCGACTCTTGCTGAGCCATGATGCCACCGAGCCAAGCAGGAAAACCTCCGTAGTTCCCAGCTGGATCAGCCCCACCTCCTGGCGGACCTCCACCCGGAGCACCAGGCCCACCGCCTCCTCCACCCGGAAAGCCGCCGCCGCCTCCACCCGGAAAGCCGCCTGGAAAACCACCGCCACCCCCAGGAAAACCTCTTGGATCTCCCGGAAAACCGCCACCTCCATGGCCTCCTGGGAAGCTGCCACCCGGCCCCCCACCTCCAATGCCACCAACTCCCAACGGATCACCGCTTTGGCGTCCACCACCCTGATGACCACCTCCCCGGTGACCACCGCCATCACGACCTGGTGAACCACCACTGGAATTCCCTCCATAGTGACCTCCGCCGGATTGATCGCCTGGTTGAGGATTGCCAGAAGGACCTGCCGCTGCCTCCTGAGGTGGAGGAGCACCCTGACCATTCGAAGGACCTTGACCGTCCCTCCTGCCAGAAAGACCTTGTCCAGCTCCTAGATGACCGTTACCAGTGCCACCCTGGAACTCCTCCGACATATAGCCCAAATGACTTTGACCACTGGTGGAAGGTGCATCTTTCAAATGACCTCCAAAGCCCTGCCTCACAAACGACCTGGACGCATCTGCCATGCCGGGAAACAAGGAACTCATGACTTCTCCCGAGGTGGTGGACACTCTATTGAACACCTCCATGAGGCTTGCCCTAGGCCCACCAAGTTGCCGAAAAGGTTCTCCAAAATCACCGGAAGGAAGGGGAAACGCACCTCGCGCTCCGTTATCTCGACCACCCATCAAAGGACCCAGCAAACCTTTATTGCCTCCCGCGCCCGAAGACACCCACGGAGCCCGCATCGCCTCGAGCACTGATTGCATTGCATTTCTCTCTTGAGGTGGAGCCCCAGCCATCATTCCATACATCCAGGGAGGTCCTTGACCAAATGGAGGTTGTTGCATACCCCAACCACCACTCATCTGCCCTGCTGACCACTCCCTCTCTTGCCAGAGTCTTGCATTCTCCGACATGAGACCCTGGATGAAGGCACGAATCGCCTCGGAGCCCTCCTTTGGAGGAGAGGGCACAGGATCTGGAAGCAACTCCGATGACTCCTGGGACGGAAGGTCCGCTGGCCTCAGCGCACGTAACATGGCTTCGTCCTGGAGTTTCTCTGACCAAAAAGGGTTCCATCCATCTGGCCCCAAAACAGCGGGAGGGCCTGATGGTCGCACCATGACCCCGTCCTTGGGACCCGCGTCCTCGATCGCCCGAACACCGCCGGACTCTGGCGTCTTCTCTGAAGTCGCACCCTCGCTCATTGCGAAAGCTAAGGAAACCGCCTAGAACCCAAACGTACTTGGGCTCATAACCCGCAAAGCAGGTCAAACACCTTCTTTCACTCTTGCACAACAAAGGGCTGCAGGTACATGCCCTAGGTCAACTCAAGTTCAAACATCATGAATGCCGTGTTGATTTTTGGCTGTAAATATTCCATGGACAAATCATTGGCCATGGCCACACACTCCAGATTCCATACATGGAGTGTTTGGGAAGTTTGGATCATCTTCATGCTTCGAGAGACCGGCATTTCTACGACATCGAGAGCGCGGCCCCACATGCGGAGCGCATGGCAGGTCTAGCAGTGACGTTGCAGAGACTGAAGGAGGAGCCGGGAGCGATCCCAGACCCATCCATGGTTTCATAGCACACTCACAGCTCAGGGCCCCAACAAAAACCTGCTTAACTTCCTAACAGATTGGTAAAGATGTCATAGATGGAGTGCTTGGGGTCATGGCATGACTGGGCTGGGGGACTACCTTCTTCTTCTTGGCACCTCCGACCCTCTATCCTCGTCCCAGACCTCCCCAGTCCGACGACGTCACACGTCGTCCAGGCCGATCAGACGGACCTCTTGGGTGAGCTGACGGTGGGGGGAGCCCGGGCGCAGAGCACTCGCTGCTGCCGAGAAACTCGCACGCAGAGCACTCCGGAGCTTTGGGGGGGCCCGGAAGGTCTCTCTTTTTGGGAGCGAGTGCGTCCATGGTGCGTCATTTGTTGGAACAAAATGGCGTTAGGTTACAGTGGTTTCAGAGTAGATGGCACAGACCTCAAGATGTCCTTTAGATGGGGGTTCATACAAACCACCTCTTGGGGTCTGTGCCATCTACTCTCAATCCACTCACTATACGTGTTTTTCATCTTTTTCTGGGTCAACTGGAGCCACTTGTGATTCGATTCCGCCAGCTGAGCTGAGCCTTAGCCATGAGGCGCGCCAAGCGGCAGAACAGCTCGGGGGCCCTGTGCGACGACGACTTTGGCAGAGTCGTTGGGGTGTTTGGCCAGCCACCTGAGAAGGTGATTGGAGACTATTTATAAGTCAATTACCTTACATTCAGTGGTTATTACATTACATTCAAGGGTTAAAGAATTATATATGTGTTTATTGGAGACTGTATAGGCGGCTGGCGCTGTGGGGCCCAGTCCTACCGAACCTGAGGGAAAGAGTCTTTCAACCAGCACCACCGAGGAACTCGGGTGCTTGGTAACCACCTTCCGGGCCTTGCCGGACACCGTGACACCCCTTAAACATCAACCGTTCTGCAACGCCGTTCTGTAATATAGCTTAATATTGAAGCTATAAGGCACAGACACCCCGAACACTCAGACAGCTCGGCTCCTGGTGGACCAGCTCTAAATGATTCCTTAAACCAATCCCCTCATGAGTTCGGGAGACGAGACGATCCGTCTCGAAACCGAGGGGTCCAGGGGTCCTTTGGGGTGGGTGGGTCCTTTGGGGCTCGGGATTGGTCCAACCCAAACACGACCTGTCTGGGACTGCCATAGCTGAGAAACGGCCAGGGGTGGTGGTGGTTTGGGGGGTCAATTGATCGGCAGTCCTATGGCAGTCCGGTCGTGTCTGGACCAATGAGATTTTGCTCGAGCTGAGCGAGTCAGAAAGGAGAGAGGTGAGATGTGTGTGTGTGTGTGTGGTTTTTGTGGCTGTACGTTTGAGATCTGAAGATCTGATGAGGTGAATTGTTCAGACTAAAGTTCATGTGTTGTTGGCAGAAAACTAAGACCTGAACAGAGATGTGAAGTGAAGCAGTTGCAGGTTGAAAACGAGGAAGGATGGAAGAACTGGATCTTGTTGGAACTGGAGATCTCCCAAGTGAGCCATGCCATAAACCCACTTGCTTGTAATGAGTAAGGATCTTGTCATAAGACCTTTCCAGCACAGCTCAAGTGGGAAGATGGAGTTTTTATCACGAGTTCCACTTATCTGGATGGCCTGCCATGTGAAGCAAGCATCCAATGATTAGCAGGATCATCCTATACTCTACGTATAGATACGTATAGTATAGTAGGTATGGTATGATGTGGGAAAGAACGAATGGGATGCATGTTACATCATACCGACTTCCGTTTGACCAATAAGAACATGGGAACGACCTGGCCATGGTGTTTGTCGCGTAAAGTCCATTCGGGATGACCCGCCTATGAAATTCATGGTGGGCCTGGAAGCCAAACGGGTCATATGTTAATATAACATCCCCAGACACTCCATGGGACTGCCATATATGCCTACATTGACCCCCAAAACCACCCCAATGTAGGCATTATATGGCATACATGGAGTGTCTGGGATCCCTCTTTCAGCATCAGACAGCATGAGATGACGGTATGACGACCTCCCGAGCACGCCCCGACCGTGTGCAGAGACCACACAGTGTCCACACGGAAAGGAACTGCACGGCACGACCGAGGCCCATCCCATCCCCGAAAGCCACATGACTCGCGGTGGTTTTCCTACGCACGCGCCATGAAAACCACTAATGGGCTCCTATGTGAGGGAAAGTGAGACTATACTAGCATCTACTCGCCACATGATGCCACATGTACCCAGGAAAACGTGGATGACCTTTATGAACCATTTCCGGGGGTATTGCTTTCTCTACTGAGAGAAAGAACTGGTGGAAACAGGTCCTTATGGTCTACTATTTTGGGAAGCTGAGGCCCCAAGTTCCAATGGTCTGGGAGTGTTTTTGGCCCCCATCTTCAATCCATGATCTGGGCTCAGCCCCCCCAAAAAACAGAGTCGTACATACACATGGAAGCTGTATACGACTTCTGTACGGACTCATCGTCTACGACTCTTCGACGAAGTGAAAGTCCTCGCGCGCGCGCGGGGTGCGTTCGACCGTGGTGCATTCGACGTTAAGGCAAGAGAGGCCAGATGAAGACACTCGGTCAGAGGCGGTCAGAGCGGTCCTGGTTTGTGCGCCGAGTTGTGAACTTTGGGGAAGATGAATGAAGATGAAAGATCTGCAGGCAGGTAGGCAGGTTGAGTTTGGAACACTGAAAGCTTTTAATAAATGGTCAGCAAAGGACATCTTGATCGAGATCTATTGATTGACGTGCAGCATATGTTTTTGTTTACCTCTCATGACCTTCATTCCCAGACCTCTTAGATTCCAATCTCAGTGAAAAGCAGTTCTTGGCACACTCAAGGCATCTGGCTCTCAAGCGAGCGATAATATGTGGCACACCCAGTCTGGGCGTTCTCGTGCTCGAATCGTTGCTCGGGTCGATTGGTGTCTGGCGACCCGACATCGGACCCGGCGCGGTGCGGCTCGGTGGGGGGATCCATTTCCCAGACACGAGCCGTCTGGGACTGCCAGTTCGGACTGCCGAGAAACGGCCAGGGCTGGTTGATTTCAGGGCTCAAAGGAGGGCATATATGGCAGTCCCACTAGTCGGGTTTGGGTTTGGTTTCAGATTTGAGGTAAGGTCACGGACGCCCGAAGGGACTCCGTGGAGTGGGGAACAACGAAGACACGCCCACGACCTTCTCCAGCCTATTATGGAGATGATTTGCTTGGCGTCTTTGCCCATCCTCGAACCCGAAAGCGGCTGCTTCTGGCCATGCTCCACGAGTGACACCTCGCCAGTTTGCTGCCACGTGGTGGACACCGCGCTGCCACACGGTGTCCCGCGTTGTCCCGCGTCAGGTCCCTGCTCTCGTTGCATTCGGAGAAGAGCCTTGAAGGCCGGTGGCCGGTGTAGACCGACCGACCGCAGTTCCGCGGCCGGAGCGTCGCTCAGTGAGGGGAGACGGTTCGGCGGCATCGTCCCGAACGACAAGGACCGCTATAACGTGCGACGCGTCGGCGGCGCGGAAGATGACATAGCAGCACCTTCCAGGTCTCCGAAATGGGTGGGTTGGGAAGGCCCTAACAGGTTTCAATCGGTGACCTGTTGGAGGTGCTGTTAGACTCTTGATGACTCTTGATATTTCACCGACATGAAGAGGTGTTTGTTTTTCTCCCAATCTCACGGGGGTGATGATATTTTCCGAGTCTGAAGGTTCATGACATGGGCGAAATCGGTTCATTCTTTCGCATCATCCTCACGGGATCAGCATCGGGTCTCGGATGCCAGTCCCATCGAGGGCTCCAGTCCCATCAAATCCGTCGATGGACCGACTGTCGTAGTCCCCTACAGTCGGACACGACCTGTCTGGGACTGCCATGCCGAGAAACGGCCAGGGGTGGTTTTGGGGGGATCGGTGTATCATTCAACGTGGAATGGATTCTTGTTCCAAGGAGAAAGTACAGGTCATTCTTTTGATGGAATCTCTGGTATTAATTCCTTCTCTTTCGCTTCTTAGGCCAGGCTCGCTGCGACGGCCACCCATTCCGGACCCACTTCATGAGACACCGCAGGTCTGGGTGGAAATGAGAAGGACATGCTGAGAAAGGAGGCCCGACCGACGCCTTCTTCGGCCGTTCCGACCGTGGTGACGGATGCACCGCGACCTCGGTCAGTCTCTGATTCCACGCGGCAGACTTGTCCAGTCGTGCGCCTTTTCGGATGCTTTCGGGTTGCACCGAGATGGACTGGAACCGAGATGGACTCAACTGGTTTAGGACTTAGGATGTGACGATCTACAACGATCAGGATCCTTCCCATGGTTTTTCATGGTCGACCATAGGGAGCATGCAACAAATCATGGCATGCGTTTGGACTTGGCATCGCTGCAGTTGGTGACAGACGAACCCACCCCGCCCCGCCTGAAGAGGCCATGGCCAAGCTGAGACGTGTCCGGAGTGTCGGAGCTCCCGGACACCGGGGATGATTGATCATCAACAATCCATACCAGGAGCATCCTGTCTGGGTGTCCTGTCTGGAGATCCCGGATAGTAGTGGGCTGGGTAGTCCATTGAACACCCAGACAGGATGCTCCTCAAACGTACAGGAATCCATACGTTTGGGCCCCCGTCAGACGGCTAAGACGAGGTGTTTGTTCTTTAGCTCCTTGGATGTGATTCGGTCCATGAACCACCCCTTACTTAGCGGGTCCTGGTACCAGAACGCGACTCTACAGATGGCATCCTGAGATCACAATATCACTATTCCCTGGAGCCAGATCGGCTCGACGAAAGAAAACGGGAGTTATGGTCCACCAAGACCTTCCGGACTGCATCCGCAGGTCAAACCATTGGGCACTCATTGGATGGTTATAGGACTGGTTGGTCCTACCCCAGAGCGGCCATGAGACTGGAATAGTGACATACATTTACCCCATGAAAATGAAGGTAATGTAAGACACATTAAAGAGAGGATGGTCTCATTACTACTATTAACTAACCCTCCCCAGACGCTCCAAACACGACGCCAAACAGCCCCGGTCCCTCAAAACCTAGAGAATGCTTCGACCCCAGACCCCTCCGGATTCGGTTCCGACCCCTCCATAGCTTCGACCGGATTCGGTGACGGGTCGCGTCTGGGCTAGATAATGCTGGGCTAGATCTTCGGCTGCACATGTTGGGGGCGTTCCAAAACCGAAACCCCAAAGGTAAAACGCCCAGTCCAAGACCGCCCAGTCACCGTTGGGCTCACGGATCTGGCCGATCGAGGTCGTGGACACGGAGGCCACGGCCAATTGGGGCCACATCATCGGCAAGGCGGGACCGGATGGAACGACGGACCAACAGGTGGATATGGAATGAGTCTCGACTCCACAGTGCCCTGGGTCCAGGACCATTAGGATGTAAGAAAAGGACGACCCTAAGTCAGAGGCAAACGGAAGGGTAGTGCACAGAAAGAGTTTTGCAGAACTTTGTAGAAGGATGTAGAAGGTATTTTTGATGCACTTAACTTTGTATATATAAACCATTTTGGCTGATCCCCTTTCTCCGCACACCCTCCATTGAGCCTTCACTAAGTGCTTCCTGAATTGGATTTCCCGGCGGAGCGGATGGTGGCGTGGTGACGGCGCCAGGTGCTTCATCGGAAAGTCTTGGACTTCAATGCTGGAACCTGAGAGAATCCGCGGGACTTTGGGGTTGGTGGACAGAAGGCAGGCGATAGGAACCGATGTATTCTACAACGAGTGGTTTTGGACCGAATTTTGCCAAACGACAATTAAAGATCATTCACTGTGACTGAAGTTCATTCCTTGGGCATCCTTGGTGTGATTCTTTTCCAAGGGAAGTTCCTGAATGAAACTCATAGCGTCCTTGTTCCGTTCGTAGTAGGGCCAGGAGCCCCGGATGCTAAGCGTCCTTGTTAGATGCTAATTAAACCCAATTCAATTCCGGACGTCCTCGGCCCCTCACCCGCCATCCTCCTCCCCATCCTCGGCGGCGACTTCCGTCTCTGCCAGGCGGTGAAGGACAAGGCCATCCGGAAGCGGCGCTTCGAAGATGCGGGAGTGACTCGGTTGGTCTTCGCGGTTTGGCGCGCCGGAGCAGGGGGGTGCTCCCGCTTGGCAACACCCATACGGTGCCCTAGTGAAGCGTCCAAAAAGACCCCAAAAAGTGCCCCTGTGAGAGGAGGGAATGTGAGGTTCTTTCTTCTTTTTGGAGATGGGAGAGGAGAAATCACGGATTGTTTCTGTGATGAAGACAGGTGGATCCCATTTGGAACTTGTGGCAGGTGGTTTTTGAGGCTGCAAAAAGATGTAAAAAGTCTTATAGTAAAACAGCTCTGTGGTTCGGGATTTCGACCATTAAAACAATGGTGGGCTCTGAATCCTACCCCAACAGTCCATGGGACTGCCATATATATATATATATATGCCTACATTGACCCCCCAAACCACCCCAATGTAGGTTTTTTTTTGTGGCGCGAACCTTTTGCAACACGGACTCCCGGAAGAACCGCCGCTCTGCTCTCTCTCTCTCTCTCAGGAAGCCGTGCCACTCTCGGAGAGTTCAAACCGCTTGGGGCGCCAAGACAAGGGGCCGGTAGGGGCCGAAAGACACGACAGGACCTACTTGGACCACTAGTAGGATAGGACCACTTAGTATATCATTAAGACTTTCCTGTGCATGTAATCACTAGCCAAAGCCGAAGTCATTGAAGCCGAATCAAAGGCATGACACATGAGATTTTATGAAGCTCTTTGCCACTGAAGAGAGTTGATGAGAGTTGACGATCTCTGGACTTCGGCACTCCACTGCTCGACCATCTCATGTACGCCCTGACTACACCGCATTGACCCTGTCTGAAGACGTTCTCAGGCACCGGTGTGGCGATCTGGCTCAGCCGCTTGCAAGGGCCTGGAGCCTCATGCTCGAGCCGTGTCTTTTTCGGACCTGAAAGAAGCATGAACTTGGAGGGTCTTGGTAGGGCTAGCTTGGTGACAGAGACACTTGTGACAGAGACACATGTTGAAGTGCAGGACACTTCCATTCTTGCAATACGAACACCGAAGGGCTTTCGCGCCGGGATACCCCTCATCATCCAGACGGTGAGGCGTTGCAAAGCCATCGCTGCTCAAGCGCTGGATTTGTCCAAACGGCTGGCCCGCACGTGGGGGGCCTAAGGGTGGATCAGAAAATGGAAAAGATCAGACAGATGTGGGCCGATGTTGGATGCAAATCATTCATCTCACGATCCTCACGAGGTGTTTTTGTTCTTTTTGAGCTATCGTCGAGCATGGTCTTTCGCAAAGTCTAAAAAGGCCGGAAAAGACCAATAGGGACCGCAAGCGCGAACCCAGTCCTGTGAAAAAATATGCCACTCTGACTGATGCCAGCTTCCTTATTTCATGTTAGCGTTTGATGCTGCTGATGCCTTGATATATGTTTTGCATTATCAGCATTTTGAGTGCAGACATCCCTTTGCCAGCCCAGCAGAAGACAAAAAGAACCGCAACCTGGCCAAAGCATTCTCAATTCCCAAAAGTTAAACAACAAAAAAAAGGAAGAACTCACAAGAATACGGGATTTCGTTGAGAGACATGCTGAGACATGTTGAACCAGACTTCAGACCAGTCCCTCAAAACAACTAAGAAGCTCCAACGGAGGGACTGGTCCCCCAAAACCAACAAAGATCACATGCAAATCGTAAAATAATGGCAGTTGTAGGAATTTATGGTGTTTCTCTTCTCTTATCTTCTCTTTCATGCACTTCCAAAAGACACATCAACATGGGTGGTGCTGCATATAGATTCATTGTTTCTCCCCCAAAACCGGTCACCCAAAACCATCCCAAACCAGCATAAATCAGCGCCACTGTGGCACCCTTCACTCCTCTCAGGGGCAAGGACGTGATGGATCATGAGTGGGACGACCCACAACTCCTGTCCGCACCCCCAGCCTGGCGGAGTGCGCCGCGCGATTGGAGGGGTCGATTGGAGGGCGCCCTGAGCGCGCCGTGTTTGGTCGTCCAGTCCGGTTGGGGTCCAATTTGTCGAGAGGGGAGGGGAGGCATGGGAGATGGTGGTTTTCAGGGCGGTTGAAGATGGGTGTTTTTGAAAGTGGTTCTGGAGCTCAGTGGCTCAGGACACATCTCTTTTCGAGGGAGTACTTCGACACGCTGATGCTTCTGGCCAATGCCGCCTGCAAGCTCTTGGTTCGAAGCTCAGCACTCGACCGAGGGTCTTCGACAACCTCGTGCTGTCGGTGCCGAGCATCGCAGGGGTCAGACCACAGGGTAGAAGGGGGAGGCTCCTCCTACCCTGAGAGCATCTTGGAGATTACCCAAACAAAGGCGGCGACTGATGTGAAAAGCCCAGAATTGCTGGCTTTCAAGCTAGGAAACCAACGTTTTCACACCCAAAACGATGGGTTTTCCTGTAGATGTTCACCAATTCTGGGAGAAGAAGGAGTAGATTTCACGAGTCGCACCTTTGCGATGTGAGTCGTGCGCCTGCATCTTAGGCCACACAGCCTCCTTTGGTGGCTGCATCGGCGCCATGTTGAAAGCTCAGCAACGTGGGTCGACGCACGTCTCAGGCAAGCTGGACAAGGGGTTCAATCCTGGATCTTATTTTGCGGATCTTTTTTCCAGGAACCAAACCCAGACACGACCCATGGGACTGCCATAGGACTTCCACAGGTCGCGTCTGAGAAAGAGTTTCAAGGAGGTGGATCTTTGTCATGAAGCATTGCTCATCTAGAATTGCGGGGAGATGCGGTGAGCACACAAGCCTCCCGAGCACTGCCATTCACCCAGAAGAATGGACTCTTGGAAGATCAACGGTACCTTTGGCTGAATGGATTTTAGGCTGCTCATTCCCAGACAATCCATATGGAAGCAATACTGTAAATATTTGTCTACGTCAGCTAGGGTGATTTTAGATGGTTTTAGATATTTTAAGGGTGTACTTTACTGCAAATGAAATATTCCGAATTCCATAGATGGATTGTTGGGGATTCATCTATAGGTAGACTCTTAGTCTTGATGATATTCCACCACATCCTACAGATGAACAAGTTTTACAATCCAAATGGCTTTGTTAATCAACCTGCTCCCACCCCCCGCGTTCACCACGCGACTGCTCCCAAACGGCACCGGGGTCCATCCGAGAACGCCGAACGCTGCCGACCACGCCCGATTCCGTGGAACGGGGCTCCAGAGACGCAGCGCGGCCCTGCCACGGCATGGCCGGAATTGCCTCGCAGTAACACCGTTTCACGGCCGGTGGCACCGTGCCTCGGCGTCGCACGAACACTGCGCGGGTTCGCCGGAACGCACCACGAAGCGGGGGTGCGACGGGGGGGAGGTGGGGTTGGCACGACTGCGTGGAAGAAGATGAAGAAGATCCGGATGTGAAGACTGCAATTAGTAGACCGTAGAAGTCGATTATTCCACTATATAGTTTGTAGATCATAGATGTTTGTAGAAAAAGACATTCCGAACTTCGGGCCACCTAAAGTTAAGACCATGTTCTAAAGAGTCTTGGACTCCCAGTGTATATATATGCTTGGATAGGTACGAACTACCAAAAGTGTTTGCTAGACCTGGCTGGTTTTTGTGGATGAAAAGGCATCCAATTCTGCATCATAGATGGAAAGATCCGCCTGGGCGGCCCTGCCCAGTCCAGTTGACTGTGTGATAGAAAGCCCCTGTGTCATGCTTCCGGTGTCATGTGTTCCGTTCGTCCTGTTCCAAGGGTCACCGTTTCCCCAGGGGTCGTGTGGTCGTGTGGCCCTTGAGCTGGCTTCAGAGGTCGTGAAGTTCCTTTACTTCAGGGAGTCAGTGAAAAAGATCCGGAACATGTGGGACTTCTATAGGCTTATATGTAGTACAGATTCATGGCCTGGTGTTGCATCCCTTGAAAAGGGGGCGCCCTTTGAAAGGATGTTGCTACGTTTTCTGTACGTCTCATGGTGCAGCTGAGAGAGCAGCCTCCGTCCGCGGAAGCTCGATGCCTCAGGTCCACATGGGCTGGGACAATGACCCTGATTTACCGCCGTATGGCGAGCCATTTGGGCAGCCAACCATGGGTGGTTGGGGAGTGCTTTTTGGGAGTTCGGCTTCATGGGTGGGGCAGGGGTGCTTGAGGAGGTTCGGAGGGCGAGTTGAGGACGAAGAAGAAGAAGAAGGAGAAGAAAAGGACGGTTCTGCACTTCAAAGAGTTGAAAAGATGGAAGAGACCTTCTATAGAGGCTTTTTGCACTAGTGACACTAGTGTTTAAAATGCCCTTGGCCCTTGGATGTCTGTTAAAGACCTCCACGCCCCGACACAGCCAAGGTCAGCGGAATTTGGAGGTAGTGCAAGCAGCTACCAAGTGCAGGAAGTCCAAAGGTCATCCGAAGTGAGCCCGCGCAGACCTCAGACTGCCACGACCCCGGACGGGCCCCGCTTCTTCCGCGGAAACCGCTGTTGCGGTCGCGTCGTAGCGGACCAGCTGGGGGCCCGAAGATCCTTCCGGACGTCAAAACCGATCCAAAACTGCCAGTTCGGACTGCCGAGAAACAGCCAGACCCCCCCCAAACGCACCACCAAATCGCACGGCCGTTTCTCGGGTCCACAGACGGGTCGTGTCTGGGGATGGGTGTTCTTTGACCAAGGTCGCGGTCCAAAAGCGAAGGTTGGTTGAGTCATATGGAGGGGATGATCCATGGAGAAGATGGTTCCTGGTCGTGAAGTATTTGTAGGTATGCCCTAATCATTTCCCTACCAGTCAATGACCTCATTTTGGAGTTGGTCATGCGAAAACACGACTTAAAAGAACAGCTTTGACTGGGTCAGACTAGACTTCTTAGGGATTTATGACTTAGAAAAAATGGTATACTGACCTGGCAACGACCGCCCCCTACTGTAGCCGCTAATCGGATGCTATAGGCTATAGGCGTGTCGGAATTCACCTTCGCCGGCATGCCTTGAGGACGGACCTGGTGGAGGAGGAGAGCCATGAATCTGAAGAGAGACTAGAGGATGCTGACGCTCGGCCGGACCACCGGACCGACCGGGACCCACGATCGGCTCGAAGGAGAAAGGGAGTTGACTCGTTGGCGGCCCGGTTGAGCTGCAGAACGAGTGACCGCGAACGATGCAGAACAACAGGGTTGATCCAAGAGGACCCGGAGGTTTTTCAGGACCCATAGGTTCGACGACCTATCCCTATACGTACATGGACTATCCCCGGGTGATGGACCCGAAATTGTCAGGTCACACAAATTGATGGTGCGCAAAATCCTCTATTGGTTATAGAGACATCTGAGTTCGGTTCGATGAACACGATGAACTCGGCGAAGGTAGTTAGACGTTGTATTCACATGAGCTGGCAAGACGTCACAAGACGTCATACGACGTCGACGGCACGTTGGTTGGACCGGCTATGAACTGGCTATGAACCGGTTCTCTTGATCAGGCTGTGTGGAATGACGCTTTTGAATCAATGGGCTACAACGAAACAGCTCGGTTCGTTTGTTTCGTAGCACCGAGCTGTCACCGAGCTGTACTCCGTGCAGGCTGCGTCACACCCTCACCGAGCGGGTAGTCGATGTCGCTGGATGTCGCTGGTGCGTCAGGAAGAGGAGCCCATCTCAGCCTGCTGCTGTAGTCAATGCTCTGCGGCGAGGCGCGCAAGTGGAGATGAGAGGTGGACGGCGAAATATGTGTCATCAGTGAAAAGAAGACCAGAGATCCATGTCTCGTCCATGTCTAAATTGTCCTTTTTTTAAATAAGCAGGTGTTTGCAGCTTGAGGGCCCCCAACAAGTCTATAAAAGAGATGGAATGGATGTGATACAATGTGTTTTTGACAGCAGATGTTCTTTCATGTTGTCCAGGTGGCATGAACGCCGGCAGAACAAGAGAAATCATGGGGGATTGGAAGTTGGAAAACCTCAGAACATCAAAAATACAGCAAGGTCCACAAGAATTATAAGAGCTTATGGGACCTCACTAAAAAAGGAGACACCGAACTGGAACGAACCAGTGAATTCATTGAACATCATGGTGAGATGTCGCACCATCCAACCCCAGCGGTGTGCGCTAGTCGCCGGGCTCGCTCGCTAGTCGCCGGGCTCGCTCGTCGCTCAGCGGCAGAGGCCTCTGCTGTGCGCTTGCACCGGCTCCTTTCTCTTGCTGTTGATCGTGATAATTGGTCTTGCTACTCTTCCCTTCAGGACACAGACCGGCAGAAGGAAAGTGTAGGAAAGTCGGTGCTTTATCCAAAGACCCCCCCTTAAATAGAAACTTTCCCAGACCATCCATGGAATAGTTGTACAGATCCATTCCATTTATGCCTCATATAAGTGACTATTCCATAACATTTAACATCGTTTAACGTAAAAGTGTCGGACACCCCCGCGTTCCACGACCGACCGGAGAGTCGCTACCATGTGGCTTTGCCAGGGATCGGTCCAAAGGGGCGGTGGGATCGGTCACAGAGTCCAAGCAGCAAACTGGCAGACGTGATTGTGGAGATGCAGCTTTGTTCAGTTCCTCTCGTGATCTCCAACGATTCATGGATTGTTGGATGAAAAACCACAATCTCATATTCATGTCATTCATGTCTCATATTTGTATAGTATATATATGCCTGGAGTCTCAAAGTACCACAGAAAATAGGTATGGTCCAAGTCCCTGTCTTTGTAGGGTCATGTCCCATTTTCTAAGGTACTTTGGAGGGTCAAGGACAGTCAGTAAACAAAAATTGTAACTATTTTTGGACAAGGCCTTTTCTGAACAAAAATTGTAACTATTTTTGGACAAGGCCTTTTCTGAACATGATCATCATCCGCTGTTACAGGGAATAGGATATACCGTACCCAACAATATATGTGTTACATAATATATGTCAATGTGATTCTGCTTCTCTTGATTGACTCTCCCTCCAAATTGCCCCAGACACTTCATGGGACTGCCATATATGCCGCCCCATTGGCTCCCCTGGCACCACCACCCCTGGCCGTTTCTCAGCAGTCCCATGGCAGTCCCGTGGAGTCTATGGGTTGTGCAGGATCGAAACCAACTTCGAGACCTTCCTCATCAGCGACGTGCAATCCTCGCTGCATCGCGCTGCGTTCCACAGCGCCACCGCCTCACGCAGCTCAGGCGCGCGCGGTTCCCGCGCGGTTCTCGGTGATCGGTCGGTCCTGGGCATTGCGCGAAGAGCTGGGGCGGGATGCAAAGACGTGATGCTCGTCTGAATGTGGCCCCCCCAGGGTCGTGAGGTCGAGAATGAAAGAGGATGTTCCCTATAGGGATGTACGGATCCACCCTCCTAATTCTCGGTACGGTGAGACCCGACAGGCGCCAGCCGTTTGAAGACATTCCAAAAAGGGAGTCGAAACACATCACCTCTGACGGAGGTTATTCTTGAGCGCTATTGCAGATTCCCTAGACCTCCAGTCGTACCTTCTGAGAAGGTGGGACTGGTGGGTGCCATGTTCGGGTCCAGTCATACCGAACCTGAGGAGGTGCGACGAAGTCGGTGTAGGGATTTGGAACAGCAGAATGAT